ACTATTAGGTATAGCTTATATAGTACTATTATTATTTTTTATTAAATCTACCCTAAATTCTATATATAGTATAAAATACTAACTTCTAGGTTATAATTAAATAATCTAACTAGGTAACCTACGCCTTACTATATATCTAGGAATAGACTAAGGGTCCTAAAGAAGACCTAATATATATATACAACCCTTCTCCTTAGCTAACTTTACTAAACTTCTAATACCGCTTTACTTTAATATTATACTATATAGTCTACTTTAAGAAAATCGCTAATTTCTCTTAGGTCGAATTCCTTAATCGCTTTCAACCTCTAATAAGGAATACTTTTAAATTCTAAGGCGTAAACATTAGAGGAATTCTAGATAGTAACTATCTCGTTTCTAGTAGAGTAGAATAACTTATTCTAGAGTAGAAAGTTACCTATAGGAAGTAGGCTAATAAGTATAACAGCCTATATAATAAGAGTAAAGATAAACTTCCTATAGATTTCGACTCTCTACTATACTAAGTAAGATCCGCTATTTATTAAGATTCTAAAATCCCTAATAGTATAGATCAATTTAAGTATTATAACCTTATTACTACTTTAGCTCCTAATAAAAGTAAAGGTCTAGATAATAAGTTAAAGTAGAATTTATTTAAAGAATACCTTAACTCTAGTACACAAGTATTAAATAAACTATATAACTTAAGCTCTATACTCTAATACTAGTAGAATAACGTAGTAAGTTTAGCCTCAATTATATATTCTAAGAAAGATAACTAATAAGATTTATTTATAAAAGTGCCTTATTAATAAAAAGGAAGATAGACTAAATAAAGTCTAACTAAAAGCAAAACATACCTTAGAGGAGAAAGTAATTTAAGCCCTTAAGTAATTATTAGGCATTCTAATACTAAATATACAGAGTTCGTTTATCTACTAGCTAATACTTTTTTAAGTAAAGTTTCCTTACCTTAGCTTTTTTAGATCCTTTAATTTAACTTACTAAACATTCACTAATATCCTTCGAATATTCTAAATCCTCTCTTACTATTACTTTATTTATATTCTTCTCCTTACCCTCTAATTTACACTAACTACTCCTATACAAGGGCGGTATAACGTTACTTTCTAAATTCTAATAAAGAAGGAAAAGAACCTCCTTTTTAAGAGAAAGATACTAAGAAATTTAATATCTTAGCTATATAATCATATATAAAACCGTCTATAAATATTCTATAATAAAGTATAATAGTTAAGTAGGAAGCTTAAGTACCTACTAGTACTATACTAGCTAACCTATCTCTACTTAAAAAAATTAATAAATTATTCACTTATAATATAGGAGAATATATTAATTTACTATAATTAGTTATCGTTAGAGATTAATCTAACAGAAAAAGCTCTATCTTAGAGGGCCTAATAAAATTAAAATTTCTATAAAACAGTAGCTTATATACCTAGTTCGCGATATAGATTATATTTTAAAGAGATCTAAGCTTAAAAATACAAAAAGTTACTAGCTCTATTATCTTAATAACCCTAGATAATAGAAAGGAAAACGCTAGTTAAAGTATATCTAATATTAAGGTACTAAATAAAAGAGAGTTTAAAAATATAATAATTAAAGTTAGTCTATTCCTCTAGGCTTAGTAATAAGTACAAAAACTAATATTACCTAAGATTTACCTAGTAATAGGCCTATTAATATTAATAAGAGATAACCTACCTACGTTTTCCTCTAATATTCTTTAGTTAGAGATTTATAGACCTTATAAAAATCATCTTAGTATAATTAATATTCTAAGAATTTTTAAAACTACAATACCTAGTTTAACTTTAAAGTTAGATATCACCTTTATAAGGGATATAGTACTTAACTATATACGAAATCTGTAATTAATAATACTTACTATTATACTAGTAAATATCGATATTACTACCTAAGAGATTATTAAAATCTCTAAAAAGTTAGACCTAGATAGAATAAGAACCTTACGGATCCTTATAAAACTAGACCTTATTAATAAAGGAGTAGAGGATAAGATTATTAAACTTATTAAAGGGAAGTAAGAATCTTAAGAACTAGGCTAGGTAATAGTTAGAAACCTTAGCTAGAAGGACCTCTAAGACCTATTAAAGAACTATAATATTAAAGAAAAGATCTTTCGAAATTTATCTCCTTAAAATCGCCTCTTAAATAATAGCTATAGTATTGATACCCTAAGAATACAACTATAAGTACTTTTAGCTTTAAATATCTAGTAGGAATTTCTATTAGTAAGTTTATTTATAAGAACTATTATACGAAATCTAATCTATAAATAGGTAATAGGTTTATTCTAAAGTTTCGAAATATCTTAAAGAATATAAATAGGTACTTAAAAGCCTTAGAGAAGAGTATAAGTCCCCTAAATAATAAAGTAAATTTCTGCTCGAAATTATATTAAAATTTTAGCGTATTACTAAGAATACTCTTTATATAAATTATAGATTATAAGACGCCTTTAACGAAGAACCTAATTTAAAGTTAGTAACTTTAGTTACTAATCACAATACCTAATTTTCTAATAACTTTTTTACTTACGGCTATATATATAGCTTTAAGTTGTATAAGTATAATAACGACTTAGAAATTAAATTAACTATCCTAGAAACTTCCCTACTAAGCTCTATTAGCGCTATCCTTAGCGGTATAAATAATAATAGAGAAGTAGAAGAATAAGTATAAGAGCTAAAATTTATCCTAAGTAGTAAGCTAAATAGTTATAGCGATATCTAGGACATTCTATATAACTATATCTAAATTTAGGATTCTATAGTATATAGGATTCTCCTTTAGATTAAAAATCTCTACTAAGAATCTTGTAGGTTTAAATTAAGAATGTTTAATTTATCTATACTTTTAAGTGTACTAAAGAAATAATCTATAAAATAGCTATCTCTAGCTAAGGGTTATATTTATAATATAATATTTATAGTTCACACTTTTATAATAAAGGTATTAAATATATCCTATAGAGATTAGAGGCTAGGTTAAAATATCCTCTCGTTTCTAATAGATAACCTTATAGAGAAATATCGATAAGCCCTTTCGATAGTAAAGTTTCTACTTCGAATTAAAAGGGATAGAACGCTAATAACTTAAAATTATTATTTAAATAGTAATTTACAAAAATAGTTAGTATTAACTACCTATAATTAGTTTTAAGTAGCTAATATTTATTTTAGTCGCTATAAATGTATCTTATTAAAAGTAAAAGAGTTATCTTTTTCTGTAAAATATAATAATTATTTAAGAGGAGAATATATTCGAGTTTCTAATCTTACTTAAATTTACTATATAAGTAATTTATAATAGACTGTATAAGATATCTATAATATCCTAAAATCGTACTATAAAGTTACTCGAAAAAGGTTTATTAATAATATATATATATAAGCGGCGGATTACTATTTAGTTACTAGACCTACCGTACCGATAAAATTTTTCTCCCCTTTATAGGTCTATAACCTTTTATATAGATAACTTGACTAAATTGCTAGGGAGGAAGTAGCTGTCTAAAGGAAGCGTTACTAGCTACAAAAGCAGGTAAAGGAGCTCGAAACTAGCAGAAAAATTCTACTCTAGCCGATACTAGAATATTTGTTTCTTATTAAGTTGTGTAAGCAATCTTTTAAAGAGATCTTTGTTGCGCTTGAGTTCTCTAAACGCGGATCACAGCTCCCTCCGAAGACTCTCGATCTTATCTGATCGAGGCGGATCTCCCAAGGCTACCACTTATCATGCTGGGTAGTGTGACAGCCTTCACTTATCTCTTGGTCCTCGATTGTTCTATGACAGATCTGAGGAGGCTGTCTATCCTAGAGAACGAAAAGAACCCCATTATTTTACAAATGTAAGAATACATATTTGCTCTGACACTTCATGTTGAAACAATTAACGGTCTATTTCGAGTTCTAGAAAACACTTGGGAAGAATGATCAACCGCTAAGAGAAATTTCTGCGACGTTTCACCAAGAAGATGGACGCCTATATGAACTTGAAATAAATAATACAGTGACGACCGTTTTTGCATTCCATGTTTGGAAACAGACAGATACTCTTTCAAACCCTAATCACATGATACGCTAAATCTTATATGGATATTTCCGTATTTAAAAATTTGTTCCAGGTTTGCATGGTGACATGGATGTAAGTATGAAATGGTATAGTAATGTACTGTTACATATCCAAAAATAAACCACCCCACCCGCACTGGGGTCGTTCCTTCACACTCCTCCCAACCTCGCAACTGCAGTCATTCAGACCACTCACAAAATGGCCAGAAACATCGATTGCTGACAGCGTACGATGTTTACTGATATGATATACAGCAAAAACAGACTCATTACGTCGCAAATGGCAGGCCAGCATCATCCTCGGACGCAATAATTGAACTTAACAAGCTTCATGGCACATTTCACAATTCGGATCAGGTCGGGCAAAGCATGTTCCGAAGCTGCCGTGAAGCTAGTGAAGTTGGTTCCGTATTGGGAATCAGCGCGGAAAAATTATCACGTACTGTTCTTCATTACTCATCCCGGAAAACCCAATTTACCTCGCCGCGTTGTGGTGATGTCAGCAAGTAACGACGCATATTCATTCTAGGTCGGAAATGAAACCATCGAAGGTACTCATACAAATGCACTTATCGTCGAAAACTGATCTGGATTGACTGGATGAGTGACTGATCTTTGCTGGAAAGGAGGATCATCGATTGAAGGTCCAATCAATCCTATAAATATTCCACCGCCATACCCCTCGTATCAATTGGATACAGGCTCCTTACTAAAAGCCTCCCTTCAACAGTCGCTATGATTAACCCTTGTACGTACGTTCCCTTCATCTTCGCTCAGTTGAGTCTGGCATTCGTTGCGGTACGGTCAGTGGAATTGAGAGAGTACGATTGTCAAACCAGATTCTGCCGCCAAGGCCAAACTCGTCTTAAGCAGCCTCGATATTGCGTAGCTCTGTAGTTATGCATCTGCAGAGGATTCGGACTCAGGGAACATCAGTTGCCCGAGCGTGATGTCGGGTTCGAAAGCAAATAGCCTGTCACATATATGAGGGACGATTAGTAACTTGAAACCGAAACCACGTTTCGTCAAAAGAAAACACCATAGAGAGTCGGATAAACCAAAGCATTCAGGATTGAGTGTATACGTACCCGTCATTGTCGAATAATCCACCGGCTGTTACAGGGGCAAAGGGACTCAACATCGTCGAGAAGACATCAAATACTTCCACGTCATCCTGGTGCGCACCGGCTGGGACATCTGGAGAGCCGATCGTGGAACCAAGCGAGGTGTCGGGCGCATGCCCCCTAGGGACTGGGGCGGCAGCAAGCGTCTGATTGTATATCTGGCTTTCTGCCTTGGTAAACATTCTGGAAAGTATTTCGGCGCCGAAATATACGGATTTGAGCTCTTCAATAACCATCATGCAAAATTTGAGGTTGTGGCGGCCCATTCGTTGCACCAGCTGTTTTTCAGAGGTGGTGTCAAGGAGATGGATTTGCAATGTCGGAACCAACGCAATGCACCTAGCGATACTTAGAATCCCACGTTTCGATGTCTCTTCGAATCACTAACGGGGCACTTACACCATCGCTTGAGTGCTTCTGATCATATCAGCACTGATCATGTCGCTGAGGATCTTGTTGGTGTTGGTCGCGGCGTCTTTGGTCCTCCGCACCACAGTGGATGTCCATTCGTCCGCGGAGACATCGGGCCAAGGTATCTCTGGCTTATCAAAGATAAACGGCCGGTATAGTATCAGCATAACCGACCTATAGTGTCAGGCTATCAAAAATTGACCCAAAAAAAAAAAGAAAAACCGGAAATTTACTTACTCTAGAAATAGTTCAAGGTGGTACGCGTGTAAGGAGACAACATGACTTTGTCGGTGAGCTATGGCGTGGTCTTTGCGAAAATAATATTGCCGGATGTTATCGTCCATGCGCTGTACTTCACTCCTACTGGGTGGAGTCCGCTCCGCTCGGTTTTGCCATGAGAGAATCTTCGCTAATGAGACCGTAAGTGCCAACAGCTCCGTCCACAGTTTGGCTAAGTCCCCAGTGCCTTCAGGAAGGTACTTTTGTTGAATACTCTCCGGAATCCCTGCGAGGAGGCTACCAGAGTCATTGCGGTCTGGCATCGGGGTACTGCAGTCAGCTAGATTAATGCGCATAGGCCTGCCCATGCCAGCAGAGAACCACGCTTCACGATAAAAGCAGCTCCACCAGATCTGCCGCCATAGTCCGACGTCGCTCATGGAAATGGCTTTACTGTGTTTTCGACTGCTGTCTGGCTGCCGATGTAGCCCTATCGTTTGGCACAAACCGATGGCAACGCCGTTCCAATGCCAAGACCCAGTCCTGTCTTCAGTGTCCGAATACCAGAAACCCATCAGAAGTACTGCCTGAATGAGGGTAATCTTCCTTCTTTCATACTCCGTGTCATAAAGAGCCTAGATGACTTTTGTTAGCTAGTGCCTGTTGTCCAAGAGCGTCTTATCGAGCCAGAACCTTAGCTCGCATATACGTCGTACGCTTCATCGCTTTTCGAGACGAAAAGTTGCCGGCTCTTAAGGTGCTATCATCTGCGAACTATATCTCACGTTAGGATGCCAATGAGGGGAAGTGTGGGAATGAACGAGACCCATACATTTGCGGCAGCTAGAAACATGCTCCATAAGAGATGCAGGCTCAGGTCGTTGCGTGCATTCTCAAAGATATCGAGGAATGAACGAGCATCGACAACTGGGAAAAAAGGATGCACATAGTGGAAGTATGTTCGTATGATCATTTCGCAGACAGCAGGAGTAGGCAAGTTGAAGACGCCCTTGTAGCGCAGGAAATCGATCGTTCCCTGGTCAATATGTGTTGGGCTAATTCGTGGAACGAGGAAGTGACCGCTCTTCTCCCTTGGCTCTGGTTCGCAGATATCGACTACCAGGCCAACGCCCCGAGGGTCGCCTACATGACTATTAGCATCACAGCGGACTGTCACTGGCGCAAGGATTCCCTGATCCCAGGTAGATATCTGATTCTCACCATATATGGGGGAATAGCACTTATCTGCCACGTCTCCATCCGGTTGTGACGTGCCCGTACTACCTCCATTATGATGGCTGAAATGCTCGTTGAACGGATGGTAAGGTGTGTCGGTGCCATCTCCAGTATCTTCAACCGACGGAGCTGTGGGGCTCCATCCGGTCCGAACAGGTAGATCCTCCGACGCAACGACGCGCTCAGGACCGGGTGAAAAGCTGCGATCTTCCAGCGGAGTACTCCGTACCGTGGGACTGCCATTTGACATCGAAGAGACCGCGCTAAGATCGTAAGACGACGATTTTATTCCAAGTCTGCCACGGCAGCTCGTTAGCGTGTCTGCCGAGGAGTTCTCCGGTATGGGGTTGACATGTCGTTTACTTTAATCTCCTGCTCTCCCGCGGCACACATGAGACATCATCCAAGGAGCAGTTGGCGCAGGGTTGGCCAGTTTGTGGCAGACTGCACCTTACTTTACGGGCGTGGCATGACTCGCAAGCCACGGGTGCTCGTTTTCTGGGCCGTCGCGTTCTGCCAGAATTCCGCGTGCTCTCCACTAAAGAATTGTGCATCATGAAAGTCAGCAGTCGGCCTTTTGCAAATGAAGTCAGTAGAGCATATTCAGCACCAATGTGGGACGGTTGCCGCGGATAAGACGTACTTTGGGGTAGGAGCGGTACACATGCTGGGCCTCGGCAACGGGCAAGCCTCCACACAGTTGCCCAGTAAGGTTGTCCAGTTGGCGGTGGTTAGTTGTGCAAAGCTGACCTCCGGCTACGACTACTGCCGAGGCCCGAGGCGACCAATAGTCGACGCAACATCAGGTTATTGCCGTCTTTCAGACCGCTTTCAATGCCGCCCATCCATAGCTTATGAGAGCGAAAAATCTGAATACTGGATTTTTCAAGAGCGAACTGAAATAAAGAGCGGTAAATGGAAAAATCTGAGGGATGAATGTCACTCATGCCGAATCTCCCGGACAGTAGAGCTTTATGACAAGTAGACCTAGATTGAACTTAGTATTTCGTCTGTCAAAAATTGCTGGCACCTAGTGAACACCCCTGCTGAGGCACGGCTGGCCGTTCGAGCTTATCGTCTGCGCCGAGACGTCTGCTTTCAACCTCTTGTTCTTTAACTTCAAATCCCTAACGTATCTCGTAATAGGAAGGATTTCATAGCTCACAAAATTCTACATGGGTCATATCGCGCCGTGGCCGGGAGAAAGCTACAGTTGTGGGAATGATTCTATTTACGCCCGACTACATATACCAAATTTATCCAGGCAGAATGATTCAAGATGTTGTACCTCGCTACGACCTATAGACACAGGGTTTGGACACTCCTACATTTATGCTTAGGTTAGAAGTCAAGGACCTAGTTGCCCATGTCGACCTAATGCAAGCGACATTTCGTCGCTTCATGAAGTATTATTTTCAGACTTTAGTCGCGCCATCACTTTTAAATAATAACAGATAGGCCGACAGGGCTGTGAGGGTAAATTAGACAGACAAAAGAGTCAAAAATTACCATTGGCCTGACATTAATCTCGAATTACGCCCGTGGAGGCAGTATTGAAGATCATTATTGAGTGCCGCATAGTCATAAACGAGAAAAGTCTTGCTATCCATATTGCTGCAGCCTGATCTGCTTGCGGCCTTCTAAATCTAGAGATATGGACAGTGACGCTCTAGGAGTATTTACATTAGAAAAGAAAAGGTAGGTTGCAAGGTCTTGTACGGAGAGGTAAAGAGTATAAAGACACGAGCACAGCTCGAAGCTACATGCAAGACGCACGTGCAAACGGGGGTCTCCAAATCAAGCGCTGATTTCCAGGAGCTTAGCACTATCATGCGTCGGTCACAATTCTTAACAAATTCAAAGTCGAGATGTCTTGCTCTTGGAAAGAGCCTCGCTCATCTTGGCCTGTGGGATGCCTTGACAGAAACGATCGAGGCCACCGAACATTTCGAGCGGTGCTTGCTCGTCTTGCTCCCTAACCAAGCGACGACGCATGAGAGCCTTGGTCCCCAGAAGGCTCGACTTCACTAGATGATCGCCGAATGTCTGCTGCAGGTAGCGCATCACCTGTTCGCGAAAATTGCCTTGGCCCTCGAAGACCTTGTTCACAAAACCCACCTGAGCTAACTCACTGACAGGGATTTTCCTTCCAAGAAGGAGTGCCTCGTTTGCTTTACCCTGACCCATTCGCTGCACAAACGCGACACTGGAGCCGCCCTCGGCAACGAGGCCGAGAGATGTGAAAGGAGTCATCAAATAAGCGTCGGATATCGCGTAGATAAAGTCTGAGTGAGATATCAAGGCTGCAGAAAGTCCAATAACAGGCCCATTCAGCGCAGTGACAAGAATCTTCGAATGGCTGTAGAACGCTCTAGCCACGTCAACGTTGTTGTTGACCAACTTGGGAAGCCAGTAAGGGCGAGATAAAATCTCCTCCATAGATGGCGGTTTCCCTTTAAGATCAGCCCCGCTTGAATCTGCATCAGCATCTCTTCGCAACTTCCACCTTTCGCACCATGGGGAAGAGAACTTACGCAGAGAAAAAGGGGCCTTCGCCAATCAAGACAGTAACGTAAACGTCCGGATTTCCTTCAGCCTCTCGAAGCAAGCTTGCAAGGCGGTAATACAGACTCTGCGTCAAGGCATTGAACTTTGTTGGGTTGTTCAGCGTGATAACCGCAAAAATGCCGTTGATGTCAAGGCGAACAAGATCTTCTTCAGCCATGGCCCAATAGAGTTGATGATTGAAAACGAGCAGACGTTGAAAGATGTGGTTATGGGATCTTGATTCATGGCTGTTATTGAGTCTTTTAAGTTGTCTGTTCAGCAATCTACTTCGGCTGGAGTTACCGCGGCTACTGAGTGGGTAACTTTAGTGCCGCGGAAAATAGCCCCTATCCCCACCTCGGCTTGAGTAAACATCGCTTTCGTGAAAGCCCGAGCTTGCTGAGCTTTGCTAGAACGGCAGGATGGGGTAAATATTTGATTTTGTTCAGAAGTTCTGCAGCTATAGCAACCTACATACCGTTTCGGTCTATAAACACCAGTCATAACGTCTGATTTTCGCGATGAGTCTCTGGCTATGGTGCCTCGGTCTGACGCTAGGGTAGAGTCTCAAGAATCTACATTTCATGTGGCATGTAAGTTTCAAATTGCCTTCCCTTCCTTCCTCCCAGAAACTGCTACTGACTTCTCAGTTTCGATTTTTCGGAGCCCTTACAATGGGCTACCTCTCCCGCAGAAGATCAAGCTATGCACTTAAGCAACACCATGTCTTTCTCCCGGCAGTGGTTAAGTAACGATCTCCACCGACTGAATGTGACTTCAACCTTCATAAGTCAAACTCGACCTACGTCACTGATCTCGATGTATCGAGAGCGTATCTCAGTGGGTTGCTATTTTCGCCCATCTTCTTGATTTACAGAGATTCGATACATTGCAACTTAATCGTCAGCGCGATTGCGTGCATCTTTCACCGAGGAATCAAGCAGTACCAACCGTACGAAGTCTGGACCAAAGTTGCGAGCTGGGATGATAAGTGGATTTATATGGTCTCGCATTTTGTCGCTAGTAGCAAACACTTGCCTAGACGCTACATCATGCAGGGGGATGGTTCGATCAATAGCAAGAAAATGGAAAAACCAGCACCTCCTGAGGATGAACCACATAAAAATGTCTTTGCGTCTGCTGTGACTCGGATGGTTTTCAAAAGAGGTCGGTTGACTGTACCTCCTCAGCGCGGTTTGGAAATCTGTGGTATCCTATCGACCGAATCCCCAACCGCATCATCTCATACTGCCAACAGAGTCGAGGCAACAGAGTCAGCTATCGATTGCCCTGAGTGGACACTTGAAGAGATCGAATTTGCTAGACGGGCAAATCTCTCGATCGTGCGGCTTGAAAGGGGTTGGGATGCTGTCCGTGGGCTCTTCCGACAAGAGCAGTTTGCGTTGGCAGAGTATAATGACTTCATGTGGTGAAAACGAGGCAGAAAAAAACGGAGGAACATATAGCATGGTATATTCCGTGTCTTTGTAAACAAAGAATATTGGATAACTTAACTTGACCCGAGATGGACACCCAGGGCAGCGCCAGTCCCTCTGCAGTGAAGCAACTGAGGCATGGGGGATAGTTGACAAATTGCCAACGGTCGCCAAGTTTGCTCGGTTTGCATGGAGCCTTCTAGTCGCCCAGGCCTTTGGCTCTCAAGCTTGTGTTCATACAGAGAGGTACAATCCCAGGTTTCATTACGATGTATATGCATATTGTGTAATTTATGCGAAATCTATATTGGGTTTAGCGCATAATGTAATGAGGGTTTGGAATAGTATCTCTGTGTGTCCAAACATGGAATGCAAAAACGGTCGACACTGTAAATACAGAATCTATTGTTGTGACCATATAAGAAATAAAGAAAGAACCCATTGCCGAGGCAGAAGTCTTGATCAAGGAGAATATCTCCCATTCCCCTGTCCCTATCACACCACCGAGAGAAACCTCCCCTGTCAACAAGCATGAGCTTTATACAGAAAGGAAACCCCACTACCCGACAATCGTTCCTGCCAGACACCACGAGGCTAAGTCCATTCCTCTCGGAAGCTGATATTATCAGATTGTCATGCAGCCATTTGCAGGGCGGCCGTCCAGATAATGATATAGGAGACATCAGGCCGTTTCGGATACGTGAATAGATTCAGCCTAATACAGTAGGAATAGGTAAGTACTCATTCCTCTGAACTCGCGGAATGCTAAAAGGTAAAAGGTTATCACAAAGAAACATTCGAAGAAATTAATACATAACTGACCCTTGCCGCTGTCAGCATTTTATAGGAGATAACAGGAAGCAGAAATAACATACCTCAAGCGCGATGACCCATGCTTTCCAAGCAGTGCCTAAAATGGCAATAACTAGTAAGAAAAATGCTATTGCCGATAGATAGTATAAAATATATCAGACTTTTGCTTAACCTTTAGTCATTTACCCGACCAGCCACTAGTACTACTAGGTCACACCTACGTAGTCCACGACAAGGATAAATAGACTACTTAGGTAGGCACTACGTAGGTAAAACGTGCCGCCTAATGTCACTACAATTATTACTAGTGTTGATATTAATACGAAAAGAGGGTAGAGGATGATTAATAAGTGCGATAGCGTTAAAAGATAGCGTTATTAAAATATTATCCGCAAATACTATAACTGGTTAGCTAACTTTATATATCGTGCGAAAGGACAAGATATACCACCTATAGAGAAGGAAATATTAGTATAAGACTAAAGATAATCTAACTCTATATAGGCGCTATCTTACTCTAGAAGAGGCCGACGAGTACTCTAAAAGAAAGGTATAATAAAGTATAAAGAACCATATCTACCCTATAGTACTACTAGGTTACTTAAAAGTGAAAGAGAAGATAAATTCGAGCTATACTTATAATTAGAAGTAAAGTTATTAAGTATAACTCGACAACAGATAATAGAATCATTCTTAGAATTAGTAAAGGTAAGTATAATATTCCTTAGAAGGTAATTAAACTATTTATCTATAGGACTATAATAAGAATACAGGGCTATTATAAAGGAAGTATAACTCCTTAGCTCTATAGGTTAGGACTAGTCTCTTAAGAGTAATATATCTCCTAGAAATATAAACCGTAGGTCCTAATTATAAGTTTTAACTCTTAAAACTCTCTTTTAGCCCCTAATTCAATATTACCTACTATTCTTAAAACCTATGTAGTCCTTTAAAACCCCCTAGATAGTATTTGATCTATTTTCTACTTCATTTCTATATCTAGCGGAAAAAGGCCTTTTTTAAAGATAGCATTTTTTTAAGTATAAGTTAAAAATCTATATCCTATATTAGGATTTCTAAGTTCTATAGTATATAGTCTCTTACTAACTTTTTGATATCTCCTATACCTTTAAACTTAATATTACCTATATACTTAAACTCCTTAGAATTAAACTTCTTAAAAATAAATTTAAATAGAGTTATAATATCCCTAATTTATTCCTTATAAAGGGCGAAGTTTGCTAGCAGCCCTAGAAGGCGGTAGAGTAATAGATAGTATAACGTAGTCTACCTTATTCTAGAAGCGAAGTAATATATTTTAGTATAGTAAAGAAATATATTTATATAACTATATTTAGGGTCGGTACTCTATTTATTATTAGCTTAGTAGTTAGGATTTACCTAATCTAATCGTTCGCGTAAGTTAGTATAAATAATAGGGGACTTTTCTAGATAAAAAATATTCTAGGTAAGTCTTATAGGATCCTAACGTCTTATAGATTCTATTAATAATTGATTACCGATACTACTATAGATTAGAGAAGGGACGGAGTAATCACTAGTATATACAAACTTGTAGTAATAGCTAAAGACTATCTTATTAATTTCTTTAACTATAGGAGGTCGAAGAATCTTACTTAGAAAGGAGCTAGCTAACTCTATATAAATTAAGAACCGCTTTCTATCCTTACTAACGACGAATAGGATAATACTAGACTCTATAAGGCTATATAAACACTAGTAGTAAGAACTAATATAATATAAGAGATAAGGACTATAAACGTACCTATAATATTTAAGAACTATTTTAGTAAAAGAAGATAGGGAGTCTGTTTTACTAGCCTAGGGATAAAAATTATATCTTTAAGGGTTGTTAGAAAGGAGCTAAAATAGAAATTAAAGGATAGAATTACTTACTAAATATAGGGGGCTTTATTTCTTAAGTAAGTACTTCTAAAGGAAAGGAGAGATAAAACCGTCTATTGTAGTAAGTAATATATTTATATTAAACTTACTAAGTACTAGCTAGCCTAGGCAAGGGAAGAATATAATTTATATAGACAGCTGTAGTACTAAGGTATTAAAATAGAGATAGACTATAGTACTAAGCCTAATATAGATTAGTACTATAATATCTTACTCTACCCCCCTTAGTAGTAAAGTAAGTAGTTTAGTTCTCTCCTTACTATAGTATATTATCTAATACTTTAGTATATTTAAATTATTTTACTAAAATTATAACTAATAATATTATCTAGATAATCGAAGTCAAATATACTAAAAAAAAATGAGGTCTAGTTCTCTCTTCGCTATAGAATATCGCAGAACTACGCTAGGATTTGAAATAAGTATATATAGCTAGATCTTCCTCCTAGTATTACTACTATAGCTACTTCGGTATATTTAAAACCGGTCTTATAAAAGCTAATTAGGCTATCTAGTTATTTAAATTCAAAGTTCTAATATATTCTATATAAAATAAAGTAATATAATAAGTTATTACTTAGAAACTGCGCTTTATAGAGGCCTAGTTATAGTCGAGTAAGAATTATTAGTATAGCGCTAAAAGTGTATCACTTCTGTAAACTTTTTATCACAAATATTATAAGCAATAATAGTATTTAATAAAAGGTTCTGTAGATACTTTTACTTAATATACTTTAAAATATCTCTATATAATAAGAATAGTTATATATGCTTCTTAAGGGCTAGGTTTTACTATCCTATATAAATAAAGTAAAATAAGGGTCGATTGTCCTCTATAATAGATTAAATAGCATTTTCGAGTAGGCTTATTAATTTAGTCTAGACCTTAGTCATTTCGCTTTCCGGCTTCTAATTATTAACGTAACCGCTCTTAGCTATATAACTTTTAACCCTTTTATTCTATAGTAAACGGTATATAATACCTTCCTTAAATTAATAGTAA